TAAGAGGAAAAGTCTTGGCAACAAAATAGTTTTAAAAAAGTGATTTTTATCCGATCAAAACTGTAGAATACAATAGTAATTGTCATCGATAGAGGGTGCCGAAAAGCACTAGGTTTTTTTTACCTTACTTGCTTGGAAACTCCGTAGATATGGCAGCCAAAAAAAATTTATAGTTTTGCGTTAAGTACAATAGAAACTTAAGAGTATTTTGAAAAAAAATGTAGAAATTAAGATATAAGTGTTTTTGTGCTCGGAACGGTAACGGTACAATATGAGCACAATTTACCGACATCTAAAACTTGAAAGTTGAATTCATTTATTAAATAGTTGAACTTGAATAAAACAAATTCAAGTAGTGAATTATAACTTCTAAGATTCAAATTTACAATGATTGAAGTATTCAACTATTCAAGAATGCTTTTGCTTACGTTAATAATTCTATAAATATCGACGTCACAGATGAGAGACGCATAGCGCTTCTCGAAAAGTCATAACCCGTACTCGTCTCGATGTACACAGTAGTTTTTTCTTTATTTGATGTTATAGAAAAACAAAAACTATATAACTATGTACTTGGATACTTGAAATTAGAGTTTTCATTAATTGAATTCAAGTTTCAATCATTACACTATCTGATGTATCAATATCAAGGCAATTGTATGCTACCAAAGTAATTTAATTTTTCAATGTTTGTCATTACAAACAATTTTCTTGTCAGCTTCCACCTTCATGGTAACTATCCGGTACCAAGAACTTTTATGATTGAGGTTGCGGGATTCAACTTATCTTCCTTCCATACTCACACCCACACCCACACCCTCATAACTCTAGGTAGGTAATGCATGGACTCGAACTTATTAAATGTTTTCTAGGTTTCACATAGTCCTACTCCTAGCCAATACATGGGTTCGAACGGTGTTCAACAGTTGTATATGTTTCCTCGTAAGACGTTTATTCATACATGTTTAGCAAAGTAAAAATTAGTTCTTATAAAATATGTAGAAATTGTGTGATGTTTCTTATTTTATTAACCTTTAGAAAATTATTTCCTAAAATAATACATTCACTATCTCGCAGTCATCATTTTACTATTAAATTCTTCATCATTCTCCTCCTCTTCATCATCATCTTCTTGTATTTCCATCATAATATTATCAATATCATCGACTGTAGAATCATCACCTTTAAATATAGGTGGATTAAGAAAATCTTGTTCATTATATTTAACTTCATGCAAAAATAAACCATTTGGTTTAAGTGTAATTGGTAATTGACTATCATAATGATCAGGTGGACAAGCAAAACGATCAAGAACATCTTGAATTGTCATTTGTCCTTTAGCAATATGTATTAATGTACCAGTAATACGTCGAATTAGTTTATAAAGAAATGCTTCAGCTTCAAAAACAAGATTATAAATATGAATTGAAGAATGAAGTGGTGAACATTTCATTAATGGTATTAAATGTTCACCTTCATTGAAATTAAGTTGCATTGTTTTTATGGGACAACGACGTTCACGTGCCATATTTATACGACCTTGACTAGTTGTAAATGCAGAAAAATTATGTTGACCCTATTCGAAAAAACAAAAAATAAGACCTAAGTTTACTTTATTATTATCAATTTACTTGAAAAACTTCAATTCCTTTTCGAAATGCATTCAAATCATATGGTGGTTCAATATAAGTAATAAAATCTTTTTCAAAAAGATTATTCATTGCTGGTGTCATATCACGTAAACGATAACGATGTTTTTGTTTTAAAAATGGAATATCAGAATTAATTTTTGTAAATTCATCTTCAGTAAGAAAACCTAATCGATAAACATATTTACGACCAAGACAATGACGACGAAAATGAAAGTGTGGTGATATAGAATGTATACGTAAAATACGTATTTGTTCATTTTTTTCTGCTAAATAAGTATTTAATGGTTGAACTAGTGTTGTAATATCAATAGGTGCTATCCAATCAAATGTTGCTGTATTATGTAATGCATGTACACCACGATCAGTACGAGATGAAACACCAAAACGAAGAGGATATTTTGTTGATTGAAAATTATAAAGTGCACGTTCGATAACACTTTGTACACTATCAATTTTAGCACTAGTATTCATTTGAACACCAGCATAAGCTTGACCGGCATAAGAAAAATGCATCATAAAACGTGGTAATTTGAGATTTGCTGAGTACGGCATCTAGAAAAATAAGTTATGTTAATTTATAGTCAGTGAAAACAATTAGAACTTGTTAAATCAATGATTCAAAGCTTCAAAATGGTCCAAATATGTTCATACTTTCAACTATAGTAGTAGCAACAAAATGACTTGAAACCTATGACGAATTTGAATCCAGATTACTCCGTTTTATATATGATTGGAATTGGTAATAACAAGATTTATTTTTAATTTTTTTCTGTAACCTTAAACGCTAAAATGAATCCAAATAGTGATTCTAGTAGAGGATCTTATTGTTAAGAAGGAAACAAGAAATAAAAATAAGAGTGTGGGTCTTCTGTTGTCTAGTCTCATACCTACAACAAAAAAAATGATTTTCGAATTTTGACTTAAAACTTTGCATAGACACAGGTTTTAACGAGAATCTCAAAGATACAGAGTATGGTTTTTTACATCGCTCATATAAACTGACAGATTTGATATTCTTATTTCAGAATTGAAGTTAATCAAAAGATCTGCAACATTGACAACCACGCGATATTTATCTAAAAAATTTTGTAAAAGTACAATACCTCTGCAACAATAAGTGAAGGGTCCAAAGTCTTTTCAGAGTATTCGTAGCTCATTTGATTCTACAGAATGTATATAGTCGTGACTCAAAAGCGATTTATCAATTGTTTGTCTTTCCTCGTGAAATATAGCAATATTACGGAAGTCTCTAAAGTCATTTTTCTTACTATTCAAGAGCTCGAAAACGTGTTATGATCTTTCTATCAGATTCATTAACTAAATTTCTTCGAGAGAGAAAAAAACAAAATCATTTCGAATATTCAGAAAAAAGATACAAATGATATTTTTTTTTGTCTTTTTTTATTTATCTTTTTCTATAAATCAAAGCATAAAAAAATTTAACAAAATTCATGCATATATTCAATGCTAGTCGATCGTTTTTGACCACGTTGTTCAGGTCGTACAGCAATAGCTGCACCTGATATAAATACTGTTTGTTGTTTATCTTTAACAATAATATCGATTGAAAAAAGACAATCTTTTTTCAATATAGAACATCGTCGATTTTTATTTTTTTCAATAATAATAAACATAGTTTTTGTTTCTTGAATAATAATTCCTTCTTTATTAATTAATGATTGATTTTTAGCTTTAACAATACGTATTATACATCCATGATAATCAGCTGTAAGAATACGTTGAAGAATACCTTCATTATTTGTTACGTCTTTTAATAATTCTGTTATATATTGTTTCCATAAATCATTCATAAATAAATAATTTTTATAATCAATTTGAAAATCTGTTTTACGTATTTGTCGTGCATCATTACGAACTTTTTTTATTGTTTTTGATAATAATTTATTTCCTTTACGTGATAAATGTTTACGTTTTTGTCGAGAAAATTGATGAATATTTTTTGAATTTGTACCAATTATTTGTTGTTGATGTCGAAGTGATTCAATAAGAGATGATTGTTTTATTGTATCAGATTGTACAAGTGTATGAACAAGTGATGATATAAAATCATTTCGATCGGTTACTGTACGAGGAACAGTTAAAAATGATTCAACAAGTTTAGGTGTAGATGAATAGATTGTTGCATGTTGATGATGTATATTCATATTTATCTGGAATGTGATTTTCAAGTAATGAATGATTGGAAAGTTTTTAGACAAAATGTTTGTTCACTTTTGATTCGTTAGAAAGTATTTCTGACGCGTTAGAGTCAGAATTTTGTGCTCTTTTCGAATAGTCTCGAATAAAAATAGACACAACATTTCTAAGCTCATATTCAAATTCTAATCGCGACCTATAATTGAAATGCTTTCAAGCAGGTCAAAATGAACAAATATCTTGTCTAATTAATTCTAAGAAATAAATTAGATAAACTTTATTTATAAATTGGAAAAAACAAAGAATTACATAAGTCAAGAGAAAAAAAAAGACTTTTGATCATTGCAATTTTTAATCTGGACCGATAACAGATCTAGAATAAAAAAGAAGAATAAATAAAAAATAGAATTTCAAATGAATAAATATACTCGATAGTAGCTTGATCTAAACCTTCACCAATCATTTTATGTCGAACAGCATCACGTGGTACACGCTGCAAAAGTAAAAAAAAACACCAAAAAAATGAACTGAATTATGAGTTTTATCATACCACAGCCAACATTTTTCGATATTTCTCCGTTCGAGGATCTTCTACTTTTTCTGGTTCAGGTGGAGGAGGCGGAGGTGGAGGAGGTGGTGGTGGACCTCCGGTTGGTGGTGGCGGCGGTGGTCCCCCAGTTGATAATGGTGGAGCGGGAGGTGGAATTGTAGTCGTTGCTGATACATTTGTTTGTTGTGGAGTAGTTGCTGATGTTGTTGGGCTTAAAACATCGGTAAGATCAAGTTGTTGATATCCCGGTGTTGAACGAAGCTAAAAATAAAAATAACTAATTATCAAAAATATTGAAAAGGCCCTGTTGAATAAGGTGATCTATTCACAATTGAGAAACCAAACATAACATGTTGTAGAGCAAGTTGAATCGCGTCGAATGATTAGTTACTGATCATTGTGATCCTTGGTATCAGTTGAAAGTATTTGTTAAAAAAAATTTTTTTTCTTCTACACAGTTTTGTAGAACTTTTCATAGGCTACAAGTTTACACACTTAAGGTCCCCGTCGAAAATCTATCTCAGTCCAGGAGGATCCAAATTGCATGAAATTTTTAAGATATGTTGGCGCTAGTGAGCGATGGCTATGGTAAAATTTTCAGCCCTATACCACGAAATTTGACAGAGATATTCACCAAACAAGGATCAAAAATAGCTTGATCGTAGCATCAAGATTTCTCTGTGGGCCTTTATTTTATACATTTCAATTCTTTTTGTTTGAAAGCTTGCCTCTAGGGCTAGCCCTTCTCGTGGCTCTTTTTTAAGTTCTTACTTTTTAAGCGAAGAAAAGACATGACAAGTTTAATGACTAAAAAATGGCACTGTTTTTATAGAGGTGCTTTCTTATATGATAATAAAAAGACTTATGTTAAGAAAAGGGCCACGAGGAAGGCGAGCCCTAGACGCACGCTTTTAAACAAAAAATAATTTTACTTTATCTGTTACTGTAATAGAGTTCTGGTGGTGCTACGTCGTTGTACCCACGTTCTGAGAAAAACGAAAAATGATTTTCGGTTTTTTGTAAAAACGGCTTGTTTTTCGAATAGGAAGGGGTAAAAATCTTCCAAAATTTTTGTCGCATATAACAGAGCAGATGATGGATTATTTCTCCATGAACTTATCTCAATTTCGATGATTCTGGCGAAAAACGACTTGTTTGAGGGGAGGGTCTTAACATCTTTGATCATTCTACTTATAGGAAAAATGCGATTTTTCAATGATTTACCATCGTTTTTCGCTGATAGTGAGTCTCCATGTCTATTTCTCAGTCATTGCTCACGATGGAGCATCACAAAATATACACTAATTTTCCTCTTTTAATACATTTTGACTATTAAAAGCTGGTTCTGATACAAAATAAACATGATATCCGTAACCAACATAACAAACTGCATTGAATAGCTTATATTTTAACTAAATATTTTTTTCCACTGAAATTCAATAGAACAATGACTGAAGGGGAGTATCAGTCCAATTTTGGCGAAGAAAATATTTAATTAAAATATAAGCTGTTCAATACAGTTTGTTATACTGATTCCGAATACTATGTTTAGTTCTACAAAACTCTATATAACAAAGACCACAATTATCAGTAACTAATCATTCGACGTGCTTCAATTTACTCTACAATATGTTATATTTGGTTCCTCAATTATGAATAGGTCACCATATCCAACAGAATCCCTTTTTCTTTTTTTACTTTAGAATCAAGAATTGCAAAATCAGCTTCAATACGTTGTAAATTAATTTCAAGTTTTTGAAATTTATTTTCAACTTGTGCGCCGAATGTATTAAAAAAATGAACTGTATTAAGTAAGAATTGATTAATATGTTCAGTTTGACGTCGTTGATTTATTGCATCAAGCTAAATATTTAAAAAAAAAGAAAGAAATTAGATAATAAATATTATATTGATAACTTTTTTTTTGTTACTTTTGTATAATCAAGTGCAGTATTTACTAAAACTTGATCATCATCACCATCAGAATCCATCTAAAACTTATCAACATTAGAGAGAAAAACAACCGATATCAGAATATCAAACAAAAAAAAAAAAATAATTAAACACGTGTTGAAGAAAATAGTTTACTTATAGTAGGAATTATATAAAAACCTGTAACAAAACCAGAAACTAAAAAAAAACAAACAAAAAGATGAAGAAATTTTTATTTAATGATATTTGTTTTCTTCATACCAAAGAAAAGAACATTCTTATTAGATAAAAATGAATAAATATCATATAATAAAGATGTTTGAGATGCTTTCATTACATTTAATCGTTGAATTAATGCTTGTTCTTGATCATGTAATTTAATAATATCATTTCTGAGATTCTCTGCAATTTGAAGTAATTGTTCTAATTCCATTTGTTGTTGTAACATGATTGTATGAAGAATATTATCTTGTTGTCCTTGATAATAATGATCAACAATTTGTCCTTTTGTAATTTGCTAAAATAATAGTTCAGTTTATATTAAAACAAAAAAATCGAGATTAAAATTTTAGTTTAGGTAGTTTTCGAATTCGTAATTAATATTTATAGAAATAAAATGAAAAAGATTAACGATGGAACATTTTCAACTGATCAATCGCTTTCTCACTGAAAGCTAGTAGAATATATGTTATTAACTATGCTTATTTCGAATATGATCATAAGATGTCTTCATAAATCGATTTTCCAGATTAACAAACTTTTCAGCAAAATACTTTTTAATCTCTCCAAATTATACAGCATATCGAATTGCCTAGAAAATAGTAGCCATTTTAGATATACAGTGGTTTGCAAAAAAAGATTTGGAACAAATCTTTAGCCTGTATTAAAGACTAGCTTAACTGTTTTCTATATTTAATGCATATCAGTTTTCAGTCTCGAAATATCTAACTCAATCTTCAACTCATTCTACTTTTAAATAAATAATCAAGAGATATCTGTCATTTTTGCTACTATTCAAATTGATTATAGCTTTTTTCAATATTCATTTTCAAGACGATTCAAATAGCATGACTTTAGGCTGATGGGAACAGTTTATTCATATTATTTATGTCATTTTTTAGTCAGTTCTTTCAATATGACTTTATTATTTCGTCCAATAAATTGACATAATATTCAACTATATTGGGCGCCAATCGCACATTTTTGACCATTAGCTGCTCGATATTCTAGAAAACCTTGAGTTTTCAGCTTTTTAAATTGTTAACTAATTATAGACAGTGTTTTCTTTATATATCAGTAGATTTTAATAGTAGAATGAATTCCGGTGTTCCAACAATGTAATACAGATTTATGATATGAGTTTAAACTGTCTGTCTTTTCTATGTCAGATTATTATTACACAAATAATAAACGAGAAATTCACCAAATATATAAATATTTTTAGTAAAACATCTACTTAGTATAAATCTACAGTAATCGCACAAAAATAGCTCGGAAGAAGCTGGAAAAAATAAAATGTTACTGTTGTAAGATTGTTTCAATTCTTTTTGCAAACCACTGTACATATCAACATTCCACTATGAAAATCTTCAAGATGATATTATTTTATTTAAAACTCACTTTTTTGGAAAACGAAAAAGATTATTGTCTTATAGATAACACGATATGAGCTATAATCTGAGTAGATCAAAAAGGATTTTAATAAAATGTTTATTAGTTTAAAAAATCAACCTAGTCTGTAAGTCTGAACTACTAAGAAATCTCAAGAAATTTACAGAAAAATAAAGTATTTTCTGTAAGATCATTTTATTCATTGTACAAAAACAAGTTCAGAAGTAAGTAGTTATATGAAGACTCATGTGATTCGAACGGGGAAAAAAATCGCCAATAGACCGTTCGATAGTGCAAATAAATATGCAATATAGGAAAGTATGATGTAGCATAAGAAAATATGAAGAAGTCTGGAAAGATTTAAAGAAGTATTGTTTGATCAATTCTCTTTCTTCTCACCTATTTTCCTTGCTTTTGTTAATCTGACAAAAAAGAGTCAATACATATAATTGCAAAATAAAAGATTGATTACATTATATATATATATATATATTATCTCGTGGATATAAGAATTATGTAAGAGACAGCCCATTTCGTACTACTGTCAGTATAGCACATATTATACCGAACCATCTACTGAAGATCTCCCGATGGCTTTTGTTCAGTTCAAATCGCATGGGAGTGCAAGTATTACAGAGTATAGTTTTTTCCTCTTGTGAGAAAGAACAAACATAGAAAACGAAATAGATGCTAAATAAAAATTTTCTCTTTACTGAACTAAACCTTTGAAGATCAGTGCATCAAATTCTGTACAAGTGTTTTTTAAAGTTTCAAAAACTTGCAAACGTAAAAAAGATATCGAGATGCAAGTATGTAATTTTATCAATTAGTCTCAAATATTCTATTCATTTTACTTGGAAGTACATAGGAAGTGAAAAAAATGAACTGACAGTTTTTACATGATTATGGTGGACATTAACCATAGAAGATATAATACCAGCTTTATAAAAAGATAATTCTCGTTCCAGGAGTTATTAGCACAAATTAAAACGTTTATATTTCATGAATTCATTGAACTTCTTGATCGACATCCGATGTTAACAATATTCACACAAATTTAGAAATCCCTCAGCTCTCATTGTCGAGCAGTGGCCACAGCCCATTAGATTCAACATTTTCAAATCTGAGACAAACCCGACGAGTCTTAACAGTAGCAGTATTCAAAAGGTTACTAATCTCGATTTCATTTACTTCTATAATAAAACTTACAAATCATTAATATTTTTCTTTTATAATTTCTATTATTTAGAATTGACATACTCGTTTTCTTGGGCGACACATATTCGACCAAATAGCAGCTTCTTTTTTATTGCTGTAAAAATCTAAAAGTATAATATTTTCTTACGTTCTTTTTTTTTTATTTTACTGATAACAAAATGTTGATTTGTCATCAGGAATCCTTTCAAAGTAAATAGAATATTGTTTTGTTTTTCTTCTTTTTTCTTTTTTCTTTTTATTAAAACAAACATTTATACGCACATGTTTTTGTTTTTTTCTTTCATGATAATAACTTAATAATATATGATTTTCCGAAAGAAAAACAAATCAAGCATACACTCATATTTGTCATCATCACTATTCATATTCTGATGAAATTCAAAACAAAAAAAAAACATACATCACCGGCCATAGCAAAAAAAAAGAAAAGATTTCGTGTCGGAAAAAAAAATGAATATCTAATTACTTTTTCGTTCGCGATGACAAAGGAAAATTTTCAAGTTTAAAAGATATATGTATATATATATATATATATATGTCCGATGAATTTATATTTCATCATTTGATTTTGTTCAAAATTGAAATGGGCCTTGTTGATTTGTAGGATTTGGTTGTCCGTTCATAGGTGATGTAAGATTATTTGTCGTAGTACCAAATTCAAATGGACGAGGCTCTTCTTGCTATTAAAAATAACAAACGAAATTTATTATTATTTTTTTTTTAAATTATCTTTACCGCAGGAATATGTTCTTCATCATCAACACCAAAATATGTTTCAATAAGATGAAAAGCTTTTTGATATATTTCAATATTTTCATGACTTTGTAAATATTCAATTTTATCCAAACCATAACATTCTTCAATCATTGTAGCATATGAATTTTGTCCATTTGTTTGTTTACTTTCAAGTGCACCAATTTTAAGAATATTATCAAGACCATTTAAAGCAACTTGAATTATTTTAGCATCAATAGCACTTAATAAATCACATAATGGTGAAATAGCTCCTTGTTCAATAATATGTCTAAATAAGAAAAAAAAACAAAATATTTTATTAAAGAAAATTTTTACAAGAAAAATATTTTACTTAATTTGTTGTGGTGTACCACCTGATGTAGCATTTGTAATAGCCCAAGCTGCTTCTTTTCGTGTTTTTTGATCACCATGTTTAAGAATATTGATTAATGATGGAATTATATTTGCATCAATAACAGCCTAAACGAAATTTTTTAATTTAATTATAAAATGACGAATTAGAAAAATTTTTTTTTCTCATATATTTCTTTAAAAAAAAAAGTTTAATTTAGAAACACTTATCTAACGAGAGAATCATCCGAGGTGATATCTTATGTTTAAGACGAGATTCCAATCATTACGTAGAACTTATCTAATCTTAGCAAGTTCTACGTAGTGATTGGAATCTCATCTTAAACGAGAGGCACGATGTGATCAGACACATATATATGTACCGTCTTAAGAGCTCCCCCATTCTCACAATAGATTTTCCATTTAGAATAATTCATTTGGGCTGAAATTTCCAGGAATGAGTGACGCTTCTAGTAAAAATTTCAGTCCAATATATCAAACTAGAGTGAACTTCTGGCCTATTTATAGTGCATTTATGTTTATAACTTCGTCACTACAGAGCTTCGGATGTTTTCAAATTGAAGCCAATATTTTTATCACAACAGAATTTTGAAATTCACTTCCATTGATTTTTTGTGATTATTTCAGTACATACGGTGTTACAAGATCATGTTTTTCTCAATACAGGATAGGAGGTATTTCAAATTTTCTGATTGAAAAAAACAACATATTGAAATGGCATGTTTATAATATTTTTAAAAGTATGTAACAGATGATATAAGGGAACATCATCTGTCGTGCTTAAATTATATATACATTCGTTTTTAAAAATTCTTAGCAATAGAATTGATTAAGACTCGACCGCTCGATGGATAAATAAGAAAAATGAAACTATGATAATCTTGGATTGATTTCGATTGGAGAGACTATTTCAAGAAAATAGCTGAATTGTATAAAAATAGGCTAAAGCTGGTTCGAGACAAAGAAATTCGAATCTATAGAAGGTTTAGTTATATTGTAGATTCCTTGCCGGGCGAAACATTAATTAAAAACTATATTATTTTTATTTCGAATTGTTATAAGAGAAGATCAGATGCAAATTTTTCATTAAAAAAAGAATCTTCAGCAGCTTACTTGAATTTGA